GGGTTTCTGAGAATATCATGCTGGGCCAGCTGGCTCCGGCCGGCACTGGCTGCTTTGATCTCCTGCTTGATGCAGAGAAGTGCAAGTATGGCATGGAGATCCCCACCAATATCCCCGGCCTGGGGGCTGCTGGACGTGAGTATGAAGGGCCCCAGCTGCCCAGGACCTGGCTGGGTCAGCAAGGTGGTGGGGCAGGCCGTGGGTGGGAAGGTGTCACCAGTCCCTGCTGTTCTTGCTCCTCATGAGTTCCTGTGTGCCTCTTTGCAGCCACCGGCATGTTCTTTGGGTCAGCACCCAGTCCCATGGGTGGAATCTCTCCTGCCATGACGCCTTGGAACCAGGGTGCAACCCCTGCCTACGGCGCCTGGTCCCCCAGTGTTGGTGAGTAACCTGGTCCAGGAAGAGGGCTCTCCAGGTGGTTCAGAGATGGGTGAGCTGAGATCGTGAACAGTAGCCGTTGTTGGAACTCAAGGCCAAAGAGGGCTAGTGGAAGGTGCAGCAGGGAGAGTTGGGGTCATCTGTGCTCTAGTTCTGTCCTTAACCTGTTTCTCTTACTCTGTAGGGAGTGGCATGACCCCAGGGGCAGCTGGCTTCTCTCCCAGTGCTGCATCTGATGCCAGCGGCTTCAGCCCGGGTTACTCCCCTGCCTGGTCTCCCACACCAGGCTCCCCAGGCTCCCCAGGTCCCTCAAGCCCCTACATCCCTTCACCAGGTGAGTTCTCGCCATCTGTCAGGCCAGGTTTGTTTCCTCCTCAGTTCTGGGTGAGTCTTCCCATCGCTCATCTCCTTTGTTGGCTTCTTCCCCACAGGTGGTGCCATGTCTCCCAGCTACTCACCGACATCACCTGCCTATGAGCCCCGCTCTCCTGGGGGCTACACACCCCAGAGTCCCTCTTACTCCCCCACTTCCCCCTCCTACTCCCCCACCTCTCCATCCTATTCTCCAACCAGTCCCAACTATAGCCCCACATCACCCAGCTACTCCCCAACATCACCTAGCTACTCACCAACCTCTCCCAGCTATTCGCCCACCTCTCCCAGCTATTCGCCCACCTCTCCCAGCTATTCACCCACCTCTCCCAGCTACTCACCCACTTCCCCTAGCTACTCGCCCACCTCTCCCAGCTACTCGCCCACCTCTCCCAGCTACTCGCCAACATCTCCCAGCTACTCACCAACTTCCCCCAGCTATTCTCCCACTTCCCCCAGCTACTCACCAACCTCTCCAAGCTACTCACCTACCTCTCCCAGCTACTCACCCACTTCTCCAAGTTACTCACCCACCAGCCCGAACTATTCTCCAACCAGTCCCAATTATACCCCAACATCACCCAGCTACAGCCCAACATCACCCAGCTATTCACCTACCAGTCCCAACTACACACCTACCAGCCCTAACTACAGCCCAACCTCTCCAAGCTACTCTCCAACGTCACCCAGCTACTCCCCAACCTCACCAAGTTATTCCCCTTCCAGCCCACGATACACACCACAGTCTCCAACCTATACCCCAAGCTCGCCCAGCTACAGCCCCAGCTCGCCCAGCTACAGCCCAACCTCACCCAAGTACACCCCAACCAGTCCTTCCTACAGTCCCAGCTCCCCAGAATATACCCCAACTTCTCCCAAGTACTCACCTACCAGTCCCAAATACTCACCCACCTCTCCCAAGTACTCACCTACCAGCCCCACCTATTCACCCACTACCCCGAAATACTCCCCAACTTCCCCTACTTACTCCCCAACCTCTCCAGTCTACACCCCGACTTCCCCCAAGTACTCACCTACTAGCCCCACTTACTCACCCACTTCCCCCAAGTATTCACCGACCAGCCCCACCTACTCGCCCACCTCCCCGAAGGGCTCTACCTACTCTCCTACTTCCCCTGGCTACTCACCCACCAGTCCCACCTACAGCCTCACCAGCCCGGCCATCAGTCCGGATGACAGTGACGAGGAGAACTGAGGGTGCCTGGAGCGCAGCAGCGGGCTAGGGCCCAGGGCAGTCTGCCCAGGCTGTGCAGTTCTTGCCTCCCTTTCGGGGTGTCATCCCCAGTCCAGCCCCTTGTACATAACACCTTGTGGCAGACCTCCCAGTGAACTGGATCCCGTGTCTGATGCGGCCTCTTGTCTTGTTCTCCACTCGTGCTGTCAGAACCCCCTGGCCCGGTGGTGGTCTCGTTCCCACCCCACCCACCCCCTGCCTGTCCCCAAATTGAAGATCCTTGCCTGTGGCTTGATAGGGGGGCGGTAAAGGGTATTTTAACTTAGGGGTAGTTCCTGCTCTTCTGAGTGGTTACAGCTGATCCTCGGGAAGAACAAAGCTAAAGCTGCCTTTTGTCTGTTATTTTATTTTTTTGAAGTTTAAATAAAGTTTACTAATTTTGACCAAAAGTATGTACGTTGAGTGCTTCTTTGGGGTTCAGGGTACCTGCAGGCCCCTGCTTCCTGCCTGGGCTACTGATCTGTTAAGGGGAGGGGACCAGGAAAGTGGGAGGTGACCTTACAGTCACAACCCACACACAACCCCTGCTCTGTGCCGGGCACTGCTCTACTGAGTTTGTTGTCACAACAGATGCAGCTTTTGTCTTGCATTAAGATAATATTGACCATAACAGCCTTTTAACTTGTTTTATTGATTGTCATAAATAATTTGGAAAAGGATAGAAAGATATAATGCAGGCCGGGTGAGGTGCCTCATGCCTATAATCCCTGTGCTTTGGGAGATGTGGGCGGATCACAAGGTCAGGAGTTTGAGACCAGCCTGACGAACACAGTGTAATCCTGTGTCTACTAAAAATAACAAAAATTAGCTGGGTGTGGTGGCACATGCCTGAAATCCCAGCTACTCGGGAGGCTGAGGCAGGAGAATCGCTTGAACCCAGGAGGCAGAAGTTGCAGTGAGTCGAGATCATCCCATTGGATTCCAGCCTGGGCAACAGAGCAAGACTCCATCTCGAAAATGTAACCCAGAGGCAGAGAAATGATCACTCTTAATCCCACCACTAGGAGGCATACTTTCTTTTGGTATTTTTTTCCTACACTTTGCTTGAGTCATTAACAAATGAACAAAAATGTATTTTCATCTTGGCCTCAAACCAAAAGTGAAGATACAGATGCTGTAATAAGAAGCTGAAGTAGGTCTTGAGGGTAATATGCTGGTTTTAGTTGGCCATTTCCCCCCTTTCGTTAGCACCTTATTGTAGGTATCAATGTTCTGTATCCTCTGCAAGTTATTTCTAGTTTATGTATTTTATTTAGCTTTATTTTTTTGAGATGGAGTCTCCCTGTGTCGCCCAGGCTGGAGAACAGTGGTGCAATCTCAGCTCACTGCAACCTCCGTCTCCTGGGTTCAAGCGATTCTTCCTGCCTCAGCCTCCCAAGTAGCTGGGATTACAGGCACCTGCCACCACACCCAGCTACATTTTGTATTTTTAGTGGAGGTGGGGTTTTACTGTGTTGGCCAGGCTGGTCTTGAACTCCTGCCTTCAGGTGATCCACCTGCCTCGGCCTTCCAAAGTGCTGGGATTACAGGCATGAGCCACTGCACCCAGCCAACTTAGGTATTTCATTATTTTTTAGTTTGAAATATTCAAAAGAATAAAAAATGATATAGACAACACCTATTATCACAAATTATAGATGACAGTTAACAGTCTGCCATATTTAATCCAGTTTTTTTTTGAGGGGGGGACAGAGTCTTGCTTTGTCACCAGGCTGGAGTGCAGTGGCACGATCTTGGCTCACTGCAACCTCCATCTCCTGGGTTCAAGCGATTCCCCTACCTCAGCCTCCTGAGTAGCTGAGACTAAAGGCATGTGCCACCACTCCCAGCTAATCTTTAGCAGAGGCGGGGTTTCACCATGTGGTCTCATCTCCTGACCTCGTGATTCACCCGCCTTGGCCTCCCAAAGTGCTGGGATTACAGGCGTGAGCCCCTGAGCCTGGCCATTTAATCCAGATTTTAAATTGTTTGAAAGAAGTGACTTTTGTTTTTATTAAAAGGATAGGTTGTTATTATTTTTAAAATAAGTACTATGGAAAGACAATATATCTCATACCTACAAACTAGTGTTGGGGCTGGGCGTGGTGGCTCATGCCTATAATCCCAGCACCTGGGAAGCCAACATGGGTGGATTGCTTGAGCTCAGGAGATTGAGACCAACCTGGGCAACATGGCAAAAACCCAACTCTATAAAAAATACAAAAATTAAGCGTCGTGGCATGCACCTGTGGTCCCAGCTACTTGGGAGGCAGAGGTGAGAGGAAAACGTGAGCCCAGGAGGCAGAGGTTGCAGTAAGCCCTGATTGTGCCATTGCACTACAGCCTCGGTGAGTGAGACCCTGTTAAAAAATAAATAAATAAATAAATAAACTATGCCTGGTGCAGTGGCTTATGCCTGTAATCCCAGCACTTTGGGAGGCCAATCACAAGGTCAAGAGTTCAAGACGAGCCTGGCCAAGATGGTGAAACCCTGTCTGTACTAAAACTACAAAAATTAGCTAGTCGCGGTGGCAGGTGCCTGTAATCCCAGCTACTCAGGAGGCTGAGGCAGGAGAATCGCTTGAACTCAGGTGGCAGAGGTTGCAGTGGGCCGAGATCGCGCCACTGCACTCCAACCTCGGTGACAGAGTGAGACGCCATCTCAAAAAGGAAAGAAACTAGTGTTGGCAGTTGGTGAACATAATTCCAGAAATTAAAAAAAAATTTTACATCTTTTTCTTTAAATTGTATAATTCTTTTTTTTGTTATTATAGAACAAACCTGCACACGCATGTACCAGAAATTTTTATTGGCACATATTTGGGGGGATGGATAGAAAATAACAAAAAACTAATTCTTTTTTTTTGTTTTTTGTTTTTTTTGTTTGTTTTTTTGTTTTTTTTTAAAAAAATCACTGTCAATTTTACTAGGATTTAGAATGCAAAACCTTTACAGCTCTTTTACAATAAAGAGTATTTAGATCTCACTTGTCAGGAAAATATTTTTTCATTATTAAAAAAATGGTTATAAAGTTGTTTGTTCTGATACGGAGTTTCAGAGCATCTAACGTTAACCTCTTCAGAAACTCCACGGTGCAAAAATAAACAACATGCATACACTTCAGAACTTTACATTCTTTGAAAAACAATACAAATTGGAAAGAAAATTAGTATGTGATCAAAGCAGAGTCAGAGCTCAAGTCTGAACTTTGCCAACAATGGCAGATGATCTGAAGAGTTATTTTCATTTGGAAGTCCATTAACAGTCCATAAGTCTTGTTCTGTAAGAAATGACAGTCTAGCTAGAAGTTTCAAGCCACCAACCAAAGCAACTTCAGCTTCTGGGTGCCCAGCAACATCTTCCTTTTCTGCAGAGCAGAAAATATAATCCACAGTTATGGCACTTTGGGAATGACAGGTGGTCACTTCTGGAATTCCAGTGTCAGGAAAGTAATGTGAATAAACAGATGACAAGCTGAAATGGTGCTGTAAATTTGAAGATAATTTTTCAGCTGTCACTAGGACCTCTGTTTGCGTTGGCTGTGTTTGTGTCAGATCACTATCTGTCTTTTCTACTTTTGGTACCTGCTGTACCTCATACACACAGTTCTGTGAGATACCTAGGTTTGGGGGCCAAATTGGAATAGATAAAATTCTTTGTCCCCGTGAAGACTGTTCCTGGCCAGATACCTATCCTATGGCAAGTCCTTCATAATTCAATTTTCCTTCCTTTATGAAACTATATAGTGGAGAACCAGGAACAGAATTAAAGTCACCACACATAACAATAGGGCAGAAGCTGCCATCTTTCTGGTGGGCAACACTGGAAATCTCTGCCAGTAGCATTGCCAATTGGGTCAGCTTAATATCACCTCGCCTTGGATTATACAGTAGATGCGTATTTGCTACACAGATCGCAGGAGAGGCAGCACATGGAATTTTGGGCTGTAAGAGTAAAACTAATCCAACATTGTCTCTGTCCAACAGAGAAATATCAGGGTGGTAGAATTCCACTGGGTTCACTGACAAGAGTGAAAATTTGGAATGTTTGAAGCAAATAGCACAGCCATCAGGTTTCCTTCCTGTCTGCATCTTATATTCACAGTGATAACCCAGTGATTCCAAACTTGGCCTGATCTCTGCTCCATAATGATCTTCTTGAACTTCTTGAAAACAAAGTACGTCTGCATCAAAGTGTTTAATTTCTTTCAGAATATTGGGAAACCTAAAACTCCAGTGTAATACTGGCCGCCGGCAATGTCTATAAAGGTGAGAGTTATCTTCCAATAAATCTTGTGAAAGTATATTATAGGACATCACTGAAAAGCAAACTTGTTCTCACTGTCTTCACATTTGGGATCAACATTTTTATCTCCTAGGATCTTCGTTTTTTCTTTATCATGGCTACACATATATTCCCAATTCCGCTTTATCACGCCTTGGTGTTTTCTTCGTTTTGATGAAGGCTCATCTCCCTCAGCATTCATGACGTAACTAGAGAGGTGAATCAAAGATGTCTGGCTCAGGTTGTCAGGTCTCCAGTTACAGTACTGGAACTGAGTTCTAGAGTCAAACAAACAGGGTGGTCTCCAATTTAGTGAAAAATGCCTACTACTGAAGTATGGGTAAGGAACTTGAGAGTAATGTCCAGGCCACCTCATACAACTAGAAATATGTCTGTTCCAGCAACACCTTTGCAGATTCTCCCACGGTGTAGTCCAGTCTCTGCCCAGACTCCTCAAGTGAAGGGAAAACATGGGGTATTGGCCTCTTCCCACCACACAGTGGCCGTAGCTCTTCCTCACACAGCGCCACGCTTCCATCTTCCCCCTTTGCCTGCGTCCGGTTCCCAGGCCCGGGGTTTCACCTCAATCTCTATAACCGAAGCGGTGGCCTAAAGCGCCGAGGGCATCCCATCACTCGAAGTCAAAAAACTAATTCTTAATTTCTGTTCTTAGTTTGTTGTTTTCTGTCTTTCCACCGTTTTTGGGTTTATCCTATGATTCTTTTAATGGTTCCTTAATTTGATCATGTTTTTTAGGTTTAAATAGTTATATTACACTCTAAAGAAATGAAGAGGAAGCTAATAGCTTTTAATATTTACCTAGATTTTTATTTTTTATTTTTTTTGAGACCGAGTCTCACTCTGCTGCCCAGGCTGGAGGGCAGTGATGCGATCTTGACTAACTGAAACCTCTGCCTCCCATGTTCAAAAGATTCTCCTGCCTCAGCCTCTGGGGTAGCTGGGATTACAGGCGTGGGCCACCATGCCCGGCTACTCTTTGTCTTTTTAGTAGAGATGGGGTTTCACTGTGTTGGCCAGTCTGGTCTCGAACTCCTGACCTCAGGTGATCCACCTGCCTCGGCCTCCCAAAGTGCTGGAATTACAGGCATGAGCCACCACGCTTGGCCTATTTAGCCTTTTCTATGCTCTCATTCCTTCCAACATCATTTCTCTTCTGCCTAAAGAACTTCTTTTTTTTTTTTTTTTTTTTTTGAGACAGAGTCTTGCTCTGTCACCAGGCTGGAGTGCAGTGGCGAAATCTCGGCTCACTGCAACCTCCGTCTCCTGGGTTCAAGCGATTCTTCCGCCTCAGCCTCCCAAGTAGCTGGGACCACAGGCACATGCCAGCACGCCCGGCTAATTTTTTTGTATTTTTAGTAGAGATGGGGTTTCACTGTGTTGGCCAGGATGGTCTCGATCTCTTGACCTCGTGATCCACCCGCCTCGGCCTCCCAAGGTGCTGGGATTACAGGCGTGAGCCACCACGCCCGGCCCAATAACTTCTTTTAGTATTTTTTATAGCACAGCATTGCTGGTGACAAATGATCTTAGTTTTCTTTTTATCTGGAAATAAAAGAAAATTCTTTTGCCTTCATTCCTAAAGAATATCTTCACTGGAGATAGGATTGTGATATGACAGATTTAGTTTTTTCTCTTAGCACTTTTTTTTTTTTAAAGATGGGGTTTCACCATGTTGGCCAGGCTGGTCTTGAACTCCTGACCTCAGGTGATCTGCCTGCCTCTGCCTCCCAAAGTGCTGAGATTACAGGCGCGAGGTTTTTTTTTGTTTTGTTTTGTTTTGTTTTTAAGACAGAGTCTCGCTCTGTTGCCCAGACTGGAGTGCAGTGGTACAATCTTGGCTCACTGCAGCCTGCACCTCCCGGTTCAAGCGATTCTCCTGCCTCAGACTCCTGAGTAGCTGGAATTACAGTCTGTGCCACCATGCCTGGCTAAGTTTTGTATTTTTAGTAGAGACGGGGTTTCTCCATGCTAGTCAGCCTGATCTCGAACTCGTGATCCCGCCTCGGCCTCCCAAAGTGCTGGGATTACAGGCCTAAGCCACCAGCCCTGGCTTTTTTTTGAGTTTAGGAGAGGTTTAAAAGGCAAAAGATAAAGAGCAGCGCTCTCTCTTGCTGCAGAGAGGGGCTGCTGAAAGGGAAATCTCTAAGATGTCTTACCATCTTCTGGCCCTCACAGTTTCTAATGAGAAGTTCACAGTCCTTGGAATCATTATTTCCAGTGTTATTTTTCTCTGGATGCTTTCAAGATTTTCTATCTTTGGTTCTTTGGTTTTTGACAGTTTGGCTTTGATGCGTGTTTCTCTCCAGAGAAACAGAACCACTGGGGGGAGATGTATATATGTATGTACCTTCCTGTACTAATAATCACATTACTTTTATATGTGATTATATATATATATATACACATACATATACACACACACACACACACACACACACATATACATATATGTTTTTTTTCTTTTTTCTTTTTTCGAGACAGAGCCTCGCTCTGTTGCCTGGCTGAAGTGCAGTGGCATGATCTCGGCTCACTGTAACCTCTGCCTCCCGGGTTCAAACAATTCTGCTCCAGCCACCCGAGTAGCTGGGATTACAGGTGCGTACCACCATGCCTGGCTAATCTTTTGTATTTTTAGTAGAGATAGGGTTTCACCATGCTGGCCATGCTGGTCTCAAACTCCTGACTTCGTGACCTGCCCACCTCAGCCTCCCAAAGTGCTGGGATTACAGGCGTGAGCCACTGTGCCCGGCCACCTATGAGTTTTTTTCTATTTATTTACGTGAGTTTCCCCACAGCAAATATGAGGGGGTTTGTCATGGGAATTGGCTCAAACGATTACAGGGACTAAGATGTTTCACAATCTGCCATCTGTAATCTGGAGAACCAGGAAGCTGGTGGTGTAATTCAGTCTGAGTCCAAAGGCCTGAGAACTGGAGGTGGGGTGGTGGTGGTGGTGGCAGTGGTGGCGCTGGTGTAAGTCATAGTGTCTAAAGACCCAAGAATCAGGAACTTCTAGGTCCAAAGACAGGAGAAGTTGGATGTCTGAGCTCAAGGAGAGGACTTACCCTTCCTCTACCTTTTTGTTCTTTCCAAGCCCTCACTTGATTGGAACGGTGCCCACCTACGCTGGTTCAAGAGAATCTTCCTTACTCAGTCTACCGATTCAAATGCTGATCTCTTCAAGAAATACTCTCACCGACACACCCAGAAACAATATTTTTCCAGCTCTCTGGGCGTTCCTTAACTCAGTCAAGTTGACACATAAAATCAACCATCACAGTATGCCCAGGCAAAGTTTTCTCATTTATCCTGTTTGCTTTTTCCTGAGATTTTCGGTTCTGTAAAATTGTCTTAGTGTATTTGGGAAGTTTTTAGACATTATTCTTTAAAAATTTTTTTCTGTCCTTTCCTTCTGAGAATTCAGTAGTTTGCATATTAGACTATTTGATTTTGCCCCACAGGTGTTTGAGGCTCTTAATCATTTTTGCAAATTTTTTTTCTCTCTCTTTTTTTTTTTGAGGTGGAGTTTCACTCTTGTTGCACAGGCTGGACTTGGCTTAACAAGAGCAATGTCTCAACCTCGGCTCACTGCAACCTCCGCCTCCCGGGTTCAAGCAATTCTCCTGCCTCAGCCTCCTGAGTAGCTAGGATTATAGGCACCTGCCACTGTGCCCAACTAATTTTTGTATTTTTAGTAGAGACAGGGTTTCACCATATTGGCCAGGCTGGCCTTGAACTCCTGACCTCATGATCCACCCCCTTCGAACTCCCAAAGTGCTAGGATTACAGGCAGGAGCCACTGTGCCTGGCCTACTGGGTTCTTTATCTTTTTTTTTTTTTTTTTTTGAGATGGAGTTTTGTTCTTGTTGCCCAGGCTGGAGTGCAATGGCGCAATCTCAGCTCACTGCAACCTCCGCCTCCCGGGTTCAAGTGATCCTCCTGCCTCAGCCTCCCGAGTAGCTGGGACTACAGGCATGTGCCACCACACTGGCTAATTTTATATTTTTTTAGTAGAGACGGGGTTTGTCCATACTAGTCAGGTGAGTCTCGAACTCCTGACCTCAGGTGATCCGCCTGCCTCCCAAACTGTGGGGGTTAAAGGCATGAGCCACTGAGCCTGGCATAGTTTTTAATTTTTATAAAGTCCAATTTATCTATTTTGTTTTTGTTGTTGCTCATACTTTTGGTGTCACATCTAAAATTCTACTGCCAAATCCGTGGGCATGATAATTTGCCCCTTTTTTTTTTTTAAGAGTTGGTTTTGGTTCTTTTTCTCTCTCTCTCTCTTTTTTTTTTTTTTTTTTTTTGTAGATAGATTCTCACTCTGCTTACTCAGTTGCTCAGTGCAGCCTTGACCTTTGGGGCCCAAATGATTCTGCCACCTCAGCCTCCCTAGTAGCTGGGATGACAGATTTGCATCACTACACTCAACTAATTTTTAAAATGTTTTTATAGGGAGAGGGTCATATTCCTATGTTGCCGAGCCTGGTCTCAGACTCCTGGGCTCAAATGATCTTTCTGCCTCAGACTCCCAAAGTGCTGGGATTATAAACATAAGCCACCATGCTAGCCTAACTTCACTCTTGTATTTGGACATCCAGTTGTCTCAGGATCATTTGTTGAGTAACTATTGTTTCCACATTGAATGGTCTTGGCACACTTGTCAAAAATCAGTAGGGGCTGGGCTCCATGACTCACGCTTGTAATCCTAGCACTTTGGGAGGCCAAGGTAGGTGGATTGCTTGAGGTCAGGAGTTCGAGACCAGCCTGGCCAACATGGTGAAAGCCTGTCTCTAAAAAATAAATAAATAAATAAAATAAAAATTTTAAAAGCTATGATATGTGAAAAAAAAAATCAGTAGGGCTGGGCGTGGTGGCTTACACCTGTAATCCCAGCATTTTGGGAGGCAGAAGTGGGTAGATCACCTGAGGTCAGGAGTTTGAGACCAGCCTGGCCAACATGGTGAAACCCTGTCTCTACTAAAAATACAAAATTTAGCCGGGTATGGTGGCCCATATATATAATTCCAGCTACTCGGGAGACTGAGGCAGGAGAATTGCTTGAATCCAGGAGGCAGAAGTTGCAGATTGCGACATTGCACTCCAGCCTAGATGACAAGAGTGAAACTTCATCTCAAAAAAAAGAAAAAGAAAAGAAACCCCAAACAACCACAAAAAAAATTAGCTGCATGTGGTGGCGTGCGCCTGTAATCCCACTGACTCAGGAGGCTGAGGCAGGGGAATCACTTGGGCCTGGGAGGCAGAGGTTGCAGTGAGCCAAGATCATGCTACTGTATTCCAGCCTGGGTGGCAGTGAGACTCCATCGTAAAAAAAAAAATCAATTGGCTGTAAAAGTATAGGTTTATTTATGGATTCTCAATTCTATTTCATTGATCTATATGTTATCTTTATGCCATATAGATAATATAGATAAATATCTTTATGCCATTAAAACAGTATCACACTATTTTAATAAATATATCTTTGTAGTAAGTTTTTGTTTTGTTTTGTTGTTTTTTGAGACAGAGTCTCACTCTGTTGCCCAGGCTGGAGTGCAGTGGCATGATCTCGGCTCACTGCAACTTCCACATCCCGGGTTCAAGTGAATCTCCTG